CATAGGAGTCAGCAGATGAGGTATCTGGAATGATGAGTAAGGAGCATGACCACTGTGTGACTGGAGGCCAGAGTGTGGGAACTGTGGAAAGGGAAGAGAGGAGGATCGGGGAAAGCAGAGAGAGAGGGAGAGAATATAGAGAGTTGTGTTCAGGAGTGAAAGTGGTCTATTTGAGATGAGAGGAAAGAAAGAAGAAGAGGAAGTAGGTCCCACTAGCGGCCCCTGGAGGCCGTTTTTGAACTTACCTGTGGACTATTGTTGCCATACTTGAAGCCTCTTACTAGTAGCTAGTTTCCAGGCCTGTATTATAACTCTTACGCATCCTGCTGTGAACATATGCCTGAACTTTACTTTTCTCCCATCCTAAATGCCGGAAAATCTAATCTAAAACCGTTACTGGTAAGCACCGCTTCTGATTAGATTGTAATGTGTGTGGAATAATGGAATTATACATGACTATTCTTTGCTTTCATACTCTCTGAATATCAGCATCAACCATTGGAAAACCCGGTCTACCACTAGTATGGTCATGTGGATCAGCAGTCACATGTAAGCAACCATGTTAACAGCCAGTCGGTCTCTTGGTCGGTCCACCACTTTGGCCACTTACATTATTGATTATTTTATTATAATAACTATAATAACTATTGCTCAGATGTGTTTAGTATCCTAGCCCCACTCACAAATGTAGAATCTACCTCATGAACAAACATTTATAACACTGTGTTGTATGGAGTAATTTTTTGCCCAGTAACCCAAACTCATTTTAAGCAGTGCTACAATGATTAGTCAATTAATATAGCAGCATGAAAAACTAATTGACTGATTAATTGAAAAATATATAGATCATTAATTACTCATTTTGAGCAATTTATGAAGGCAGAAACGTTTCTGATTCCAGCTTATTTAAGTTGAGGTTGTGTTTTTGTTTTATAAACTTTAATGTTTTTGACTTTCAATCTCAATTTTAAAGCCAACATTGGAATTCTTTAAAGTGCTCAGAAAAAAAACAGTTGAACATTCAGAAACAACTGTGGAAGACTGTGTGATATAATCAACAGCTCCGAAGTAGCAACCAAATGTGACATTGTGGTGACTGAATATCTTTGGGTTTTGGGGATGTTGGTTGGACAAAACAAGCAACTAGAAGTCGTCACCTTGGGCTGTGAACTAATGAAAATGACCATAAGTTGCAGCCCTGATTAGAAGTCTGTTGTTCAGTGACATTAACAACCCCTGCCATGTATGCCAGCAGACCACTCTGTTGCACAGAACCAGCTCCTCTTACCTGACCTGGTGCTCCAGGAAGCTCATGTAGCGGTAGAGCAGGGTGTAGGAAGGAGACAGGATCCCTACCGACTTCATCCTCGCCCCCCTCTCCACCGTGCTCTCAACCGGCATGTTGGCAAAGCAGGCGAGGCCGAAGTAGCAGCCCTTCCGGAAGTAGCTGAGGATGGAAGGGGAGAGAGGGAGAGAGAAGAGGGAGAGAGAAGAGGGAGACAGACACGAAGCCATGAGTCACGAAAAGCAAAGGCACTGCCAGATGGCTGGGCTTTTTTTTTTTTTTTTTTTTTTTGCCGGGCAACACTTTCTGTCGTTCTGTCCTGCCAGGAGGAAGACATGGGGCCGCATCCTAATACTCTAAATCAGCCTCCTCCACTTGGTTGTGTCCTTCACGTTCTGAAGAAGGTGAACAACTTCCACTATTGTGCATACTGATCATCACACACACACACACACTTACATGAAGTCTGTGGTGACTCGGTGGGAGCCGCTGGCGATGGCTTTGAACTCCACTCCCTCCAGGTCCATGTCTTTGGGCAGACACCACTCCAGCATGTTCCCTAATCGCACCCACACCACAGAGAGACAATATTAAAACACACAGGCAAAGCAGACAAATGCTGATACAAGACCAGACGGTAAATATATTATCACCGTTTCATTTCATGCTCATGAAACAGCAGTGACACAGCCCGACTGCGTTCCTTGGAATTCATTATGTGCCGGTTGGGCGCTGACGCTCGAGCGGCAGCTGAGCAAATACAGCCTGATAGGAGCAGGGAGACAGAGAAGGTGACTCAGACACTGTGGTTTTCAGTCTATTCAGTAGCTACATGTATCAGTCAGTGGAGCTGCTGCAGAAATATGACCTGATTGATCCTCAGATTGAGTTTACAGGTCTGTATCATCCACTAGAGACTAAAATGCACCTGCGACCAAACACCAAAGATGCTCTATTTTCACTTTGACAGCTGTTATTGACATGAAGTATTTAGCTTTAAGTATCATGCAGTGCGAAGTGCCAATTGAAGCTATTTCCTGCACTGACAGACCAGTATTTAAAGCTCATTACTGGTTAAAACAGTAGAGACACAATGTTTTTTCATTGCATGTTTTATTTGTGGACAAATGCACAAAATCAGCTTTGCTCTGATTTATGATGGATCATGTGGTTCCTGATGCTTGACTAAATCCTGTAAGAAACTATCCTCAAATCGATATTGTATCTAAGTGTTCTGTCGGCCTTATACAGCACTATCATAGATGAAATACTAAAATGAGCCCTAATCCTTTCCTAGTTCATCCTCAGATATATTCAATTCTACATTTTTAAATCTTCTTTGTTAGTGTAAAGCTCTCTTACCTAATTTCTGCTTCACTCCAAATGAAAGTTTAAAGATACCACCCCCCAAAAAAAAAAAAAACCAACATATATATGTATATGGAAAACCTAAACCATGTATCTACATGAATCAGGGGAATTAAAAGAACACCTGTTTTTAAGTGTATTAGGGTGGATTGCTCCTTTAAGTAAGCAGAAGTGGAGCTGACTATCTGTTAGTAGAGATGGAGCAAATGTTTGATGCTGCAATATCTGACATGTTTTGTGATAACTTGCCAAATCACTGACAGAACTGTCATCATAGTCTCCACTTGAATCTGAGACAGAGGTATATTTTCCTTTATATTCTAACATAAGGGTGTACAAACTGTGGATAATTTGGTGTGAGCGTTACAAATACTGTGGCTCTGTGCTGTTTGTTACACGCTGTTTCATCTTGGTTGTTTGTAACATTGAGCAAATATGCAAACACATTAATATACGGAATAAAAGGGGTATGCTCTCCTCTATAGGTACACATATAATGATGTACCATAGCACAACTGGCTTGTATTATTTCATATCATACATGTACTTGTTGTATTTTCTGTTAATATCCTGAAACCGGTGTACTGCGAACAGACCTGTGTCGTGTTTTATCTTGTCATGAGTTACCCTGTGAATCCTGGCTCTGGTGTTAAGGAAACGTGGAGAGTCCAGGGTAGCAATATTGACTGTATGGAGCAGGAATCGATCCAGCTAATCTACCTGGAGTCCTATTTGTCGGCTTCAAATGGAGGTCTTTCCTGCAAAGCCCCTATCAGACTATGAGTACTGATACCAATGACCCTTCCACTGAGCAGATATTTAAAAAAAAAAAAAAAAGCATTGTTATAACCTGTTCATCACCCTATTTATTGTCCTGGTGTCCTGTCAATCAAACATACTGCAACATCACATAGTGCCCAGCTCCACCCTGTAGGGAAACTCCTGTGTCACAAGGGTTTCTCTATCATTTCGAAACATTAAATCTTCTGAAGCTTAAATAGATTAGCCCTCTAGGTAAGTAACCTGACTGGCTACTATTTTGCAGGGGGCTCATCCTGTCTTCAACATGCCCCTCATTAAAAATGTATAGGCCTACTCTGCAGCCAGCTGATTGATTTCCATCACAGAGCTCGTCCTGACATTTTCTTTCCTGTACTTAGACTACAGAAGGTGTCATGGTTTTTAATCGTGTCTCTAAACTTATGGCCAGGTCAGACAGAGCCACACCTGTAGGAGAAGGTTCTGCAGACTTCGTACAAACATGCGCTCTTCGTTTTGGGCGTCAGACACAGGGATTGCTTGCACAAGACGAGGCAGGCTTCATGTATTTCCCCCCCCTTGCTGTCTATAAACAGTATCCTCTCCCTGTTCTGTAAAGATTTTGTATTCGATCTAACATAGCAGTGATAAATCCATGTTGCATATTTTATGTCCCACCTGATCTGGTATTGAATGTAACCACAAAGACCGACACAATCTGGTCCTTTTCCTCCCATTTCACCATCCTGTCTTCCAGGGACACCTCCCTCGATCCTGAATCCGAGGGATGCTCCTCGCTGTCGGGACACAGGGCTTCATCCGTGGCCGCCGGGGTGCTGTTGGAGGTCGCGGGTGGGGCGCTGCAGCCGTCTGCGTTGGAGACAGACCTGCTGGGAGTGGGACCCCCCGGACCGCTGCTCCACCCAAAGCCCGGCGCGGAGCATCCTGGTGAGGCACGACTGTTGGAGGGGCTCGACAGTCGGTCTTTGGGGTGTGCTGCCGGCGGTGTCGCTCCGCCGGGCTTCTCCGCGGACGGAACCTCCTCCCAGTCCAGCAGAGGGGCTCGGTCCGACCGCTCCACCATCCTGTCGGCGGTCCCGCCTCGTCAGTCTCACCGCGGATTGTAAACGATGTCTCAGCCGACGGGAACCAGGTCCATCCGTAGATAATTACAGCTCAGAGCAGTTCCCGCATTGTAAAGTTATTTTAAACTGTGCAGAACGGTTGCATTTTGCATCAAATTACACGAATCGCGTAGCAGCATCCACATCTATCTTTATAATCTTTCTTGTGTGAGGTGATCATAAATTTGATGCTGTTCAGAGAGGGCAACTCCTTCGTCTGATGTGAGCTGCATTCAAAACAATCCACCAGTTACTGTCACATTCCCTTCACTAAGAATAGCTGCTGAACGTTTGGCAACGCGTATCCGTTTTGGCCTCTTGAATGCCCCCCTGTACCACAGCGTCGGGATAGCGCTTCCTTTCACGAGCCGCACTTTCGAGTCAAATATCTACGTTTTTACAAAGCAACACACCCACAATTCATGTTTATAAACCCTAAAAGACTATCAATATATCAAATGTGTTGTTGAACATATTTTAACTTAGTCCGTTTCATATAAAACATAGCGAAACATTGAATGTGTCGAATGTGAAGAAGCTAACGTTAACTGTTGATCGGCGACAGTTGGTGACGTCTCCCAGCGACACGTCAGCCACACGGAAGCAGATCTCTGTCCAACCGAGCAGCATTGCCGACACAAGGACCGTAGTTTTATCGAAATGGGTGAGTTTTTTTTAATTGTTGGTCGATGCTGTGTATATTTATCCTTTGAGTGCCTGTAGCCTACGTGCGTATGAATGATTAGAACCCATTATTGTATGTTTTTGTATCTCCATTTGACGCGCGGCGCCGACTGTTACCTGCTAGCTCGCTAACGTTAGCTGTTGACAGTGAATGCCGTATGTTTTTCATCCGCGGTGTTTGAGTGGGCCACAGTTTCCAAACGGTTGTCCTCCCCAGCTATCCGTGTTAGTTGCTTTTATAACATCTTCATATATTGGCGTCAAGGAACTTTAAAATATGAAGCACGTATTCAATTCCATGTGTCGCTAAGCTAACCGTGGCTAAGTTGCTCCACCACCTGAGTGCTATTGACAGTTAATGAGGCCATTGTTGTAAACCCGGAAAACAGATTGGGTTTAGATAGCTCCAGGTGTAGAAGAAGCTTCACTTTCATGTATTTGGTTACTGTCACATTTCTCTCTGTTGCTGTACTTCTTCAAGGACTCGAATGAACTACAACTTTGGCATTTGTTTAGCCATTGTAGTTTGATTGTTTGAGTTCATAAATAAATGAATACAAAGACATAACAATGAGAAAGGCCTGTGATTTCTCACTAGAACCCAGAGGGTACATTTTCTGTCCATCTGCTAAATAAAAGTCACTTTTCTCAGCACTAATTCCTTCCTGTGTGTGTGTGTGTGTGTGTGTGTGTGTGTGTGTGTGTGTGTGTGTGTGTGCATCCCTCAGGTGGTTTCTTCTCCAGTCTCTTCTCGGGCCTGTTTGGCACCAGGGAGATGAGGATTTTGATCCTTGGTTTGGACGGCGCTGGAAAAACAACCATTCTGTACCGGCTGCAGGTCGGAGAGGTGGTCACTACAATCCCCAGTACGTGCTGGTTTGCTCTTTCTCTATTTCCGTACTACTGTTTATTCCCCCTCAGAGAACATCCTTAGATTTCACATCAGTTAAACTCAGCTTGTCAGGGACACCATTATAACATAGTGTGACGAGAACAACCCTCTTTATGGTAATTAGATTATGAATGGCATCGACCAGTAATCCTGCAGGGAACTGTTGCTACATGGGTAAACCTGGGTAACTAGTCTGATCAGCATTCTTCTTTGACACGAGTGTTTGACTAGAGCAAATGTTCTCAGACGGTGGGGCATAGAGCCACTGCAGGTGGGGTGTGGATGACCAGGGGAAAAATATGGGGTTAAATAAATATGATTTATGTAGGTTAAACAAAATGAGAGAGTTTGCTGGTGCTATTGTGCTAACCTTTATTTCACTAAAATTCAACCTGGATCCTTCATTATTAGTTCCCTATCATTGGTAAAAAAAAAAAAAATTGTGTGGGGTGGGAGTTTTTTGGCGTCTGAATGCCAGAAAAAGTTTGAGAACCACGGGACTAGAGGGAAGCTGGTGAGGGGAAAAAAAAACAAGTTACCCTGGCTATAATTGAATTCATTAGAGTGAATACATTTTGTACTGAGTATGCACACAGCAGCAGTTGGCAAGGCTGTCAGCATGGACAGCTGTGATACTAGGAGAAAAACAAATATTTAAAAGGCCATCAGAATGTAAAATGATTCATACAGTGTAGTGATAATTTGAAACACACTGAAATGTGAGTATGGACACACATGCTGTTTCTTTAACCTGATGAACAGGGTGCAAAACTGTTTTGTCCACTGGCCAAATGGCGGGGCCAGGGTCAAATTTTACCAGCCGCTTAATAGCTTGCCATTATTGTTATTTTGCTGGTGAGTGAAGGAAATCAAACAGCCACTTGTATATTCTACCAGCATCTGGCTGGTAAACGGTGCTAATTGTATGCCCTGCTGATGAAGACATGGGGATTTCATTTATGCCGGTCATCTATGGACATGTGTGCAAAATTGCGATTGCACAGTTCCTCGTTATTACAAAGGCTGAGAATCGAAATTGAACTTGTAGTCAGCAGAAATATCACACTGTACATGCAGATTAGACTGTGGTAAGAATAAGGCTTGTGTGCTCTGCCCTCACTATACCAACATTTGGATTTCTTTCCGCACAGCAATCGGCTTCAACGTCGAGACAGTCACATACAGGAATCTGAAGTTCCAGGTGTGGGATCTGGGAGGACAGACGAGTATCAGGTAGGTGTATTGGCCAATGGTGCTGTGCTGTGGAGCTCCCAAGAGTGAATGTGTGTATGTGGAACACAGGCGTAACTGTAAATAGCTTGGGCCTCAGCTGACATCTTGGAGATGGTGTTAACAGAGAAATCAAGTTTTTGTAGATGTCACAGTTTTGTTGCTGTACATAACTACAATCAAGTTCATCTCTTGTTCGCGCACATCTTAAAGTGTCCTCCTTATCTCGTCATCATATAATTTGATTTTCCTGTTTTTACATTATTTTAACCTCACAAATGTTTGAACGTTTTGCGTCTTCGACGAACCTTCTTTTCTGCCTCCCGGTCTCCTCTGCTGTCTCACAACCTTTGCGCTCTGCTCGACAGGCCCTACTGGCGGTGTTATTACTCAAACACAGATGCAGTCATCTACGTCGTCGACAGCAGTGACCGCGACAGGATGGGCATCTCAAAGTCTGAGCTGGTGGCCATGTTGGAGGTAAGCTAGTTTATTCTCAGCTCCAACCTAAAAACATTGAACTGACGTGAGGATATATCATTATTTCATAGCCTCGAAGCATCATGCTAGCTGGAGAGCTGTAGAGATGTATAACACTTCCACTTGTCCAAAGTGAAATAACCCAAATATTAGACAGATTTCTGTGATAATAATTGTCTGCAGAGGATCAATCTTAATCACTTACTGCCACCACAAGGTCACATTATGTATTAGTCCAACACTGGTGCTTCACAACATATTTTTAAGGGTCACAGTTGAAATTGAAATACCACTGAATTTATAGCACTGAAATATTTTAAATTGAAAATCAATTGTCTGAAATTATGGGCCTTTTATTCCCTTCTTTAAAATATATAGTAGGTCATTTCGAGTGGTGCAACTGACTTGTTTTGTTTTTATTTTTATTTTTCAGTTTCACAAATCACAAAGTTTTAAAATCCAAGTGTCCAGTATTTAAAAAAGTATTTTCTAGTTGCTCAACGTTTTATATACATTCTAAACTACAACTTGTGTTTGGTCGAATCCAGACACCAAAATTCAAATGTGTAAATCCATGGTGCCAAGTTTTTGCACCACTTGAAATGACTTTGTGTAAAAGAGGAAAATTCAAACTAAATAAATTAGGATGATTTTCAAAGTAAGGTATTTCAAAACTGTAAATTAAGTGGTATTTAAAAAAAGTCTTTGAGTGGTTAAATATCATTTAGGTGCAAATAATTACAGATATTTTTAGCTGCCACTTCTTTGGATTGAATTAAATGAATTGATTGAATCTCTGGCTTTACTAGGTGGATTTTTTTAGAAATAATGTCCCAAAATGTAAGCTTTTCATGATGTCATTTTGCGACCCTGTGTTTTATCCAGGAGGAGGAGTTGAAGAAAGCTATCCTGGTGGTATTTGCAAACAAGCAGGACATGGACCAGGCAATGACGCCCACTGAGGTGGCCAACGCCCTGGGCCTTCCCGCCCTCAAAGACAGAAAATGGCAGATCTTTAAGACCTCGGCCACAAAGGGCACAGGCTTGGATGAGGCAATGGAATGGTAGGACATTAATTAAAGTAGATATCTTCTGTACGGAGAGAAATAATGTGATTTTTACTTTTATCCAGATTCACATCTGTATTTGTCAAAAGCTCCCAGCCATTTTAAAAACAGAAGACAGTGTAGAGACCACACTATATTACTCATTCTCTCCAGTATTGGTTCATATTGCCCAACGTGTTCTCTGTTCTTTGTTTACCGAGGCTGAATTGTATTTGCTCTCTGTCCTTGCAGGCTGGTGGATTCCCTGAAGAGTCGACAGTAAAGGCCCCCACCCATTCTGTATATACACCTGACCTTTGACCCTTCTGTATGAAGCCTTGTGACTGACTCCCTTCCCCACATCCCACTTTTCACTGGACCAGTGATTGCACTCCTCCCCACCTCCAACCCACCTGAAGCCTTGGCCAAGCCCTCCCAATGCCTAACGCCTTTCAAGCCTGGGACTTAGAAGCGACGGCTGCAGTAACGTCTGGACTGGGCACAAACACACTAAGTCCCATCTCTACCAGTGAAGCTTTTAGAGAGCCGTATGACTTCAGTGATGGATGTGCAACAAGTTAGTAACTACATTTTTGTGCGTTTTGGAAATGCAATTTTTACCAATCTATTTAATATAACAGTGTCACACACTTTATCATGGATTAGAAGGAATCAATAAATAAGACTGTGAAAAGCCCATCCACTCTGACCCTCTGTAGCATTTCTGAAATCAGAGGAGTCATTCGCATGTAGTAAAGCTTGAAGATCAGTAAGTAAGTGATGGGCACTCATGTCAGCAAAAGGAAGCAATGAAGATCCGCCGGGAGGCCGCATTTTCCCCATCAGAGCCTGACCTGAGCAACCAGAGACGAGGACACATCATCACCATGGAGAAGCAGCTGCTTGATTGCCAAGTCATTAGACATTTTTTAATAGTGTGCTGGACTAGCTATACTGTACTGAATCTCTGTTTATTGCAGCAAGTATGAAATCCAAATTTGGATAACATACCTTTCTGCTGGCTTGCATGAAATGTTCTGTTTTACTTTAGGAAATTGCAAATCTGGCCTCAAACAGTTAAAAAAAAAAAAAAAAAAAGTATTCATCTACTATATGTCCTCTGGCCAAGTGTTACTGCAGCCCAGGCTGTTTTTGTACTATAGATTCAGGCAGATGTAATGTCATGGATTTATATTGTTTGTTCCCTTACATTCATTTGTGTGGTTCCCACTTTTTTTTTTTTTTTTTTAAATCTAGTGGTTAAAGCCGTTTTTCCATTGAAATCCTTGAGTACAGGTTTGGCATATTAGTCATTTAGTTACTGAACACTAACTGTATGCTCAAAGTTCTGTGGTTCCATATTTATATCTGCTTGTACAGTGAAAATTATTCTCAGTAAAGATTGCTATCAGTGATTGTACCAGGTTGTGTTAAGGCTGTTTGATTTTCAAATTGTGATACCAGAAGATGGATGAGTTGTAAAAATGTCAGATCTTTTTTTAATTACAAAAACTTGTACATGTAACTGCACGGGATATAAATCTGAAGACAATTCTACACTTTGTTCACAGCAGGAAAATAATTCTTCAATTCTTATGAACTGATGTTATTAGTGATACAGAGACATCCTGCTGAGAATCAGGCTGTTACATGATTCTCATTACTTTAAACACACACAACGATGTTGGATGCCTAACAGAAGAGACAGATCAGCTCATATTCCAGGAAGAAACTCTCTCCTGGCCCAACATGATGTTTGCTTTGTCAACTGACAAAATAGTTACAATATGTATGATAGTCATTATGTAACATGAAGTGTGACTTGTGGAGTCTGCAGCCAGTTAGCCCACAAGATCCTGGACATGTCCAACTAGTACCTGCCCATGAAATCCAACCCATCCACTTCCATTGGGCACCTGGCCAGCTTTCATTCACACATAACGTCCTAATAATCAGGTGTAGCCACCCATGTGGCTCACTGCACCATGGCCAGGTCTTTAAGCGCATGGCTCCGATGCTTCTTGGCCTTATATCCGGGCCGGAGGAACTCGATCTTCCTCTTCTTGGCTTCAATTTTGTTCTTGTGCTTCTTGAGTTTCTTCTTGGCTGCGATGTCCGGGTTAGCCACCGCCTGGGAAAACAGACAAACGTAAATTGAATGGTAGGAATAAGTTGCTCTTGATTGTGTATGCGGTTTGGTGTCCATCATACCTGCATAGCTCTGTGTCGTTTGCGGGCCGCTCGCCTCTGTGAAAACTCCTTCTGTACAGCAGAGAAGGCCAGAGAGAATTTCTCCAGACCCACTTGTCTCTTCAGCAGCTCGATCAGCTCCTGGGCCAGATTCTTCAGTGTGGGATCTGGATAAAGACAGAGCGGGGCTCAGTGGAATCAATATCAATTTTTGTAGGAAGTCTCAGGGTTTTTTTTCACTGTTCAGCCATTTTCCCACAAGGTAGGTTAAGAGCAGTTACCTTGGTCTGCATAGGTGCTGTCCAGCTCCCTGTACAGAGGGATGATGATAGTGGTCAGATAGGGGCCGAGTCGTTCCTTCCCCAGGTCCATGGCTATCGCTCCCAGGAACTTAAACACACATGTTCTCTGCGGAGGTGAAGAAAACGAAAATATCTTTTCTAACTGACAAAGGCTGACTTAGAAATGTGAGTTTTGACAAAAGAAGCCAGCATCGACGCTTTCAGCTTGGTCTTACGTTATTCTTTAACCCTAAATGGAGTTTTTGTTGTGAACACAACACTGACATGCTCTCTCTTGCTTTGCTTGTCTATTTACACATACAGATGATCTGGAACACCATTAGCATTCATTCAAGTCAATATTTCGACTCCTTATAGCTCTGTTTCAGTCTCCACGACCTCCTGAGGGTTTCTGTTGCTGCTAATTGCTCCACAACATTCACCAGTTAGTCACTAACTTTGATCTGTGATGAATACATTTTTGGCACCCTGCCTTGAGATTAGACTTTAAGAGGTCATGCTCTTTTGTTTACAGTCGGCGGAGAGAGTGTCTGGATAAGATACTGCTGAACATATAACTCCTAGTTTCTATGTGTACCTTCAGGGGAACTTTGGGGGAGAATGCTGCCTCTCTCTTGGCCATCAGCGACAGCTTCTTCATCAACCACAGCAGGGAAGGAGGCCGATCATCCTTGTCATCTTCCTCTTCTTCCTCCTCCTCCTCCTCTTCCTTTTCTTTTTCTTCCCTCTCCTCTCCATTTTCGTCCTCTTCATCTCCGTTCTCCCTCTGCTCCTCCTCCTCTTTCACTTCCTCTTCAGGGGAAGGGACATCAGACTCGGGGGAAATTAGGTAGATCACCTTGCCGACGAACAGCAGGTTCTTGATCACCTGCGGGCGGAGCGGGACATGCCTGTCAATAAATCTCATATGTGATTTAAGTTTGGCTTAGACTGAAATGTGTTAGTGAGTATGGGCACCTGCTCTCCTGATGCCGTGTCGAGGAACTTTGATTGTAGCTGATGGCAGAAAGATAACGCCAGCTCTCTCATCTAAATGTCATAAAGAAGGCCAAAAAAAGAAAATTCAGTCAGAACAAGATGGAGAAATGACATCGCTGCAGGAAAAGTTGTCCCTGGCCTCACCTTCTTGTCCAGGTTGTTGGTGATGAAGTCTGTGGCCGTCGACTGTGGCGACCCGTCTCCTCCTCCTCCTTCTCCTCTCCAAACAGCGACCAGCTGCTCCGCCTGATGGGCTGCAAACAGCTGACCAAAAAGCTGCGAGGCAGTCAGCCACACCCAGCAGTGAGGGTACCGCAGGTGGGCTTCAATGTGACCTGCAGGAGCACATGTAAAGGAATAAATTCAGTGAGTGTGTGTGGAATGTGTGTGTGTGTAAGTGATGGAGAGGAAGTGTGTGTCAGCCCTTTACCCCAGATATTATAGAGTGTGTCGTGAGGCTTGTGGAGCTCCAGCAGGCCGCAGTGTTTGCTCAATTTGGTGATGAGAGTCAGGAAACTATACAACAGCCTGTCTGCTCCTTTTTCATCCTGCTCCTCCTCGATCTGAAAGAAAAGACAGAGTTAAGATGCTTTCTTTCCCTAAGGTTTCAATCTTGTGGCCAAAAGGCCAAATGTGTCTCCTCACATCCTCATAGTTGTCAGGGTTTATCTCTTTCTCCAGCAGAGGCAGCAGATCGTCTAGGCGGCGGGCGAACTTCTCATCCTCCACCTCCACGAACAGACCACAGATCTGAGCCCCGAGACGCTGCAGACTTGCCTGGAAGCGCAGAGGGGAAAGGTCAGAGGTTGAAATTAGAACATACCAAAGTCACCAGAACTGTACAACACACACAAGTACACAAAATACTAAAAACTTTAATCTCAATTACAAAAACCAGCTGTTCAGAATTCACTTTTTGGGTAAAATCGTTGCCCTAGAAATGTGTGCGTACCTTTTCTGCATTCAGCCAGGTGTTGACGAGGGAGAACAGGGTGTTCTGGTGGTTCAGGTCCAGCTGGGTCAGCAGGGCCTTGATGGCCATGGCGGCCATCTTCTTACAGCGCGCTGAGTCATCGTTGACCACAACCAGGGCCAGTGGGGCGAAGAACAGGCCACTGTGCTGCAACAGTAGGTTCTGAGTGGAAAAACAATCTGGTGTGACTATCCTGAGGGGCCATGATAATGCATGCCAAAACAACAACTAGCATTGGTGAAGTTGTGAGAAAACTCTGCTCACCTGAGGGAACGTCTGGAAGATGTAGGCCAGCATCTCCAGCACGGACTCCCTGCCTGTATCGTGCTCGTAGTGCAGCTGGGACACCACAAAGTCCAGGTGCTCTCTCAGCTTCCTCCCCAGTGGGTAGTCCAGCAGGTATTTCAGATAGATCTGCAAAACACAAAGCATCAACCCTGGCTAAGCACAAGATTTTTTTTTTTTTTTTGTGTCATTCAGTGTTCAGCAGAGAGGAAAAATGCGGACCGTTTTTCTGTATGTGTGAGTACCTGTCGGCAGTGGATTCTGATCATAGCGTTGCTGCCGGTGACAGACAGCTTGGCCACTTTTTTCAACACCTCCTCCATCTCTGGAACAATGAGCTTCCTGGACAGAATTGCCTGGAGGAGACAGATACGCATGTAAACATACTGTAGCTTAAGGGGGCAGTTTTTTTTTCCTTGAAAGAATTTGCCATTAAGCTTTGGATTAGTCCTGCACTGCACCACAAACAGCCAACATCTGACTGGTTACCTTTAGCAGGCCGAAGGCGGTGGCCTGGCGAGACTGGTCGTAAATGTCCTCCTCTGCATATCCAAGCAGCACCTGCAGTTGTGTCTCTGAGATGTTGTTGCTTTTCACATTCTTTACCAGTATGGTGATGGCCTGAGAGACAGAGACACAGAATGAACATCAACCACCACCAACTGAGGCCCAAGACATTTGCATGACTTTTCATAATGTAATTTCTTAAAAAATAACTGATTAAATTTCCTCTAACTATTAACTGACACATGGTATTATCCTTTATCTTCAGGTGTGTGCATATATGTATATTTATTGTTTGTGGTACCTTGAAGCAGTTCTGGACCAGGTGGTAGTTCTCCCCGCGGGCGGCTCCGGCCTTGGAGTAATCCTTCAGCAGGACAAAGAGCTCCTTGGTCAGCTGGTCGGCGTTCTGCGCCACCGCTGGCAGAGGGAACTTCAGCAGCCAGGTAAACGCCACCAGAGCCTCTGTGATCACCTGGGAGGGTGGAGTACAAGTTTTAATCTCCATTTTATTTATTTGAGGAATCAGAATGGATTTGATTGACCGACGCTCAAAGTTGGGTGATAAAAAGTACCCATGTATACATAAAATGCAAGTACCTTAACGTGCATGGAGTTGAGGCAGTCGAGCAGCAGCAGTATGAAAGGATCCAGCATCTCCAGGGCCGAAGCCTCAGACGACGTCACTTTGGATTTCTTCAGACTCAGGTGGAGCAGCTGAGAAAATAAACAGATCACTTCAGAAACACTGTTACACACACAAATCTATTTCAACAAGGCATTCCTGACTTCTCTAGGTAAAGGAAATGTGCAATATCTATTTTAATTAGAGGAAAGGATAAGACACCTCAATGCAGAAAATGTTATGCATGTAATTGATAATTAAACATTATATCGGATTATTGCTTGAGGAGTGTTTCAATGTGCACCTTGAGGCCAGCGTCCACCAGGATGTGCATGTTGGTTCGGCTGCTGACCGGAGCTTTCTGACCCCCTCTCTTTGGAGTTGGAGGCAGGAGCAGGCAGCTGGGAGGGGGCAGTCTGGGGTCTGGGGGAGGCTTAGCTGAGGCTTTCTCTCTACAAACACACATAGATACAGTGTCATACACATTTAGAAATAAACGGTATACGGTATATTGATGTCAGCTTGTGTGTGTGTGTGTGTGTGTGTACCGGTCTCTTTTGGTG